CCCCAAAACCCCAAAACCCCAAAACCCCAAAACCCCTAAAATTTACTTCTTTGTTGAAAAATTATATAATGCACATTGATTATAACAAGTTCCATTGTTAAAGCTCAATAATTTAGAATTATTTAATGACTGAGCTAATATAAAAAGAAGAAGGAGGATTACATGAAATTAAATCTTAAGAAGTTGTATTCATCCTTCAGGTTTTATTAACTTTTTCTTGCAAAAGTTGAATTTTTAAATTGCCAGCAGATCTATTGACCAAACTTGCAATTTTATTTCTCTAAATTTTACTCCTTCTTTTCCTCCTTCTCTTACATCTTTTCTGATTCTACACCATAAACCTCTCTCTTTACCTCATCATATATCGAATTGATCTATTTCTACTGATGCATTTATGATGGTAATATCCTTATAGCCCCTATAACTCCTTAAACCTCTTTGTCAAACACCTCTAAATCCCTTTTAACCCTTGGTTCCCTCTATCTACACTCTTCTTGCTATCTCTCTCCTTCCTATTTGTCTTGTTCTTCATATTGTTAACAATCATATCTTTAAACTCCAAATTAAACTTTACTTAAACAGTATATGTAGGGATTAATGACTTGGAGTTTTAGGAATCTCAAATTGAATTTTAGAGAAGTACAAGTGTAAGTGAGTTTTTACATTTTTTTATTCGAGATATGCTGTTTGTTGGGTGAAGTTTTATAAATTTTAGAAGATTGTGTATTTTGACCAACCTTCAGGTTTAAGGTCACGATTTGAGTTAAGGGTTAACTTTTGGTTGATTGGGGTTTGCTTCAGTACAAAATTATTATAACCTAGAGCAGCATCAGTGTTTTCTTGTGTACTATACAAGTTCTTGCTAGGTTCGGTATCTTCTTTCTTCTCTTCCTTTTTCACGACAATGAATTGTTGTGATCTTCTGCTCTTATTTCTTTTGAACTCAGATTTTCTCTGCTTACCTACATTATCTTGTAGCTTATATATTAAAATTAGAGGGAGTCTTTTCGATAACTTGCAATCTTCAATTATATTAAAGAAGGTATTTGATTTATAAATCATATGTTTGAAGTTCCTCCATTTAGAATTGATCAGAATATTTGTTTCACTGTTATTGGTACTCGTGTCTTTATTAAGCCTATAGATTGTAGCTACTACAAGAGCATTTGAGTCTATTTCCTTATGTTCTTCACTTCAGGGAGATGTCAGTAAATTTGTGTTGAAATCATAATCGACAGATTCCCATAAAAAATGGATGTCTTCTTCTGACAATCCATCTCCATCAAAATCAAGTTTTACTATCAGATATCTTTGGGTGAGAGATTTGTATATTGCGGACTTTAGGTTTATTTTTGCACAATAGGAAACGAAGAATTGCAGTATTTTAGCCTTCCCTTCAGTGTCTCTAATCGTCCCTATTAAATCTGGCATCTTGATTTTTAAACTATAAGAACCTAATGTTAATGAAATCTATTACTCGAATAATCTTCGAAGCTCTTGGAGATCTTTCCTTTGAAGTATGAATCTAAGAACCCCTGATGATGCTCGATTAGTTCCGAAGTAAGTTCTCCCTTTTGGCTAACCTCAAGATTTCTGATAGTCGTTATGACTGTCTCAAGCATGCAAGATTTGGTCTTAGGACTACCGAAAAACATGGTTTCATCATTCTCGAATCATCCAGTCTCTATACATAGTAAAATGCCAAATAGTACCTTCTATTTTAATGAGAGCTTGTTTTGTAGGAAGTGTTGGAGTAAATAGCAGATCTAAGTCTTTTTCTTCCTCCAATTCATCTCATTTCTTCTGAAATTGAATGAAGACATCCCCAATTACCTGTGTCGGAGTGTCAAGTTCATAATCTACAGCCTTGGCTTTAAGAACTATTTTGAGGTATAAAAATGTCAAATTATCAATATATTCGAAACTTTTAGGCAATTTAATTCAAAATTATTACTTACACAGGTCGAGTATTTTCTCCCGAAGAGAAATCCCCTCAAAATCTTGACCTTCGAGGTTCAGAATAATATGAAAGACCAGAGTTTAAGTAATGATGTTCTAATGTGTCTGTCTCTTTGCCAGGCATTGACAAAGGAGGTTCATAATAATTACAAGAAGGGTTGTTGGTCTCTTTCTCATCCGCCTTCATCTATACAACCACATTAGTTACCTCTCTGCCCACATTTATGAAACCAAATCTGTTTGCTTACCCTGTTGGAATAAACTCTCTAAGTTATAATCCTTGATTCTTGAAATTTCTATTTAAGGGCTTAAATCCGGGGTTTTGGGGTTTTGGGGTTTTGGGG